ACCACAAAACAATGAAAGTAGGAATCAATGATAAAAGAAATCACTGAAACTACACAAACCTAAGGGAATTAAATAATACCCTCTTGAGTAATTAATAGGTCACAGATGAAATTAGTCCCTACAGTCAAATAATAATGTCAGTAAGAAATCCAAGAACCTATGGAACACAATGAAAGCAGTTCAAAGAGGGAAGTTAACAGCAGTGAATTGCCACGTCAGGAAAATAGAGCAAGCTCAAATAAACAACCTCAAGGTCTTTGAAAAACAAGAAAAATCCAAACTCAAAGCTAGTATGAGCAAAAAAATTGTAAGTATCAGCAGAAATTAATGAAATTGGGACTAAAGAAAAACTATAAAGAACCAATGAATCGAACAGTTGGCTCTTTGAAAGATTAAACAAAATAGACAAACCCTTTGCCAATCTTACCAAAATAAGACCCAAATCCATGCAATCAGAAATGCAAAAAAGCAAAATCGCAAGGGATTCTGCTCAATCGAGATCACTGATAACTACTTAGGGAGCCCATACTCTAATAGAAAATTCAGAAGAAATGGATGAATTCCTCGATACGTATGAGCTAGCAAAGCTGGCTGGGGAAGTAGGTGTAACTTGTTAATCACAAAATCCTAGGACAAGCCCCAGAACAGTTTTCAAAGTGCTGCGTATAGACTTCTCATGAGAACTCTGGTAGGTTTTCCACAGGACACCCTAAACACCAACCTGAGGTGTAGGGACACAAAAAGGACGGTCCACACTGAGTTCTGTCAGTCTTGCATGATGGCCATTCTCACACTGTAAGGAATACTTCTTTTCCTACTTTTATTTGGCCCAAACTAGCTCTGCAGAGCCAGTTTCTTTTCCTGCCTTTTATAAAACATTGCTATCATCTGCACTTATCTTGACCAATTCTTTGCTCAGGACAGAAAGAAAGGAAAAGCCACCTGCAGGAGGAACTGTAGTGCTTCAAAGTCTGCTAACAGTATCAGTCAATGAAATTGAAGAAGTAAAAACTAAAACAAAACCAAATAAAAACTATGAACTAAGAAAATCCCAGGTCCCAAAGAATTCACTGCCAAATTCAGTAAGAACTTTAGAAAATACCTTTCATGATGGCATCCAAAAAAGCTCAGGAATTAGCCTAACCAAGTAAAAAACCTCCACAATGAAAATTATAGTCCTCTAAAAAAGGAAATCAAAGAAAGTATCGGAAAATGGAAAGATATCCTCTGTTCCTGGACAGGCAGAGCCAATATAGTCAAATGGGCATACGTTCTAAACCGTTACACAGACTTAACACAACCCCAGTCAAAATACCAATAGCATTCCTCACAGAACTAGAGAAAGCAATCATAAAATGTAAATGTAAACACAAGAAACCTAGAATAGCAAAAGAAATTCTGGGCAACAAGGAGAAGGCAGGGACATCAAAGCCCTGACTTCAAATTATACTACAAACCTAGTGATAAAAATACAGCATGGTATTGCCAAAAAAAAAAAAAAGAGACCACAGAGGATACAGACACAACTTCAGGCACACTCAGCTACCTTCACTGGAAGAAAGGACCAAACACCGTCACTGGAAGAGAGACCTCTTTAACAAACGGTGCTGGGAAAACTGGGTAATCACATGCCAAACATTGACCCTAGACTCAAATCAAAATGGATCAAAGGTCTAAATATGAAAACAGAAACAATCTGCTAGAAGACAAAATAGGTAAAACTCTTGAAGACATAGTTGTAGGTAAAGACTTTCTGAACAGAAACCAGTTGCACAAGAAATAATACCAAGAATCAATAAATGGAATCATATTAAATTAGAAAGCTTCTGTATAGCAACCACCAACTGAGTGAAGAGACAACCTACAGAATGGGAAAAGCTTTTTCCTACCTCCTACTCATCAGAGAAAATATTAATATCTATAACACATAAAGAAATAAAAAAATTTTTAAAAGAAATTAAAAAATTAGATCCCACCTAAATATAAAGACCCAATCAAAAAATAGGTATCTGAAATGAACAATATATCTCTCAGATGAAGAAGATAAACAGCCAACAAATACATATAAAAATGTTCAACACTGCTGACTATTGAAGAAATGCAAATTAAAACATTCGGATTCTATCTCCAGAAAGAAGGGCATCATCAAAAAATCAATCACTAACAAATACTGGAGAGGTTGCAATGGGGGAAAAAGCAACCCTTCTTCTTTATTGGTAGAAGTGTAAATTGGTATAATTACTAGGGAAACCAGTACAGAGATTCCTCAAATTACTAAAAAACAGAAACAGCTATTCCCCTTCTAAGTACCTTCCTGAAAGAGTTAAGACATCATACTGATGTATGCATACCCATGTTTACAGCTGCACAATTTATAACAGCCAAATCTTGGAGGCAGCCTGCATGTCCACCAACAAATGAATGGATAAAGAAAATGCAGTATTTATATGAAGTACTACTCTGCCATAAAGAAGGATAAACTGAGTCATTAATGGGAAAATGGGTGCATCTTAAAATCATAACGTTAAATGAAGTCAATCAGACAGACTTAAATATCACATGGTTTCTCCTGTATGAGAAACTCAACATAAAATACAAAATAAAAGACAAAAGGAAAAAAGAAAGAAAACAAATTATAATCCAGCATGGAAAATGTATCTATTAGTGTGCTTTGATTTAATATAATTGTCTTATGTGTTCTGTATTTTTTTTTTTTTTTGGCCTGTTCTTCTGGCTGTTAATCTATGTGTATGAAAATTAACCTTATAGGATTTAACCTTATAGGGTTAAATAAAAGAATCTGATGCTGGCCAGAAAAAGGGACAGCTGTGTAGGGGAAGGAGAAAAAAAAGAACTGAGATGTGTTTTGTATACGTTCCCACTCCCCACAGTAAATACAATCATCATGTGTCATAGATAGTACTAATAAAGCTAAAACTTTCAAGAACCTCAAGTAACTTACCTTGGAACAGTCAAGAGAAGTACAAAATAACCCAGCCCAAACCAAGCCAGCTCTCCGCAATACAAAAAACTTCTTAAAAAAGGAAATTTTTTTTCAATTTGAACGATCCCACTTATCAATGCAGGCTTATGGGTAAGGAGTAGGAAAAAGAGAAATAAATTATTATGCATAGCAGGCAGACAGTAACAGCCCCCTAGGATACTGCTTTGTTTGCTTGGCTATGTTCCCTTCTATCATGCTCTACTCCTCAAGGCATCTGACAGAAGCCCTCACTTTTTAGATGAGAAAAGCATTCCCGAGATTCTCAACAACAAAGGAAAAAGCCCTCAGTAAACTGAAGTATAACTTCACCCAGCACTTTTTACCACCTCCATGTTAAATGATTTCTCATTCTGCATTTCCTGCTGTCTTCCAGGGTGTAGATTTCTACGTCCAGGTACCAAGCAGGTAAAGCCATTTTTATATGTCTAACATACACCTTAATCTGGGCAAGCAGTGCAGCATCGTTTGTTGTCTTTCATTTCCAACTCTTAACCCTCCATTAGTGATTTCCTTCAGTCACTGAGTAAGCACTTTAGCCACTCAAGCTAGAAAACTCGAGGATCATCCTGAGAATCAAAGCTAATCTTAACCTAGTCCAACTGCTCCTGCATTCCCAGTTTCTCCCCAGTTCTGTCCTCTTCATCCTCAGTGCTACTGAATGGATTTAAATCTCTGTTGCTGCTCATCTCGGGCTGCCCTAGTATTCTTCAAGTCTTTCCGCCTACCTCCAGCTAATCTTCCTGTGCTAAACGTCAGCACCACAATGTTTATACTGCTTCTAACCCCTTCATGGGTTTTCAATCACTTCAACTGCTTAGGACAGTGAAATGAGGTCCACAGTGTTCTATGTGATATCAAAAATTATGCTGGATCAAATTATCTTTTAAGCTGCTACTTCTGCTTGCCCCAATTTTGTCAATATCAAAACCCCAAAAAGTTATGTTTCTTCACACCTTCACACTTGGGCTCACACAATTTGCATACTTGAAGTGTACTCTTACCTAGGCTATTTCTATAACAAAAACAGGCTTGGATATCACACTGATAAATTTGTGAGGGTGTGTGTGTGTGTGTGTGTTTGGATTATCACACTGCTAAATGTGTGTGTGTGTGTCTGTACGCACACACCCAAAATGGAAAAAGCCAAATGCAAATTACTAACTTTTCAATCATAACATAAAAGGTTTCTGTCCAAATATGAAGTGTATCTGTGTTTGAGAAAGGATCATTTTTATCCACTGGCCACACAAACTGTTTTACTCTATGCGTATAAATGGACAATATATAACTGACCTTTAACAAAATAATCTTATTATCGAAACACAAATGTTTTTACCATGGAACAGAGTCCAAATACCTACAATTAATTAGATAATCTTATTTATACAGCAGCACAGTTTTGATGGGCTGCTTTCTTCAACTTCAGTGAGTTTCAGAAATCCTCTTAGGAGTCAAATGATTTTATCTTTAACAAACGTGAAACACATCCTGACTAAAATACCTGTGGGAAAACAGTCTATCCATTCAAAAAGGCAGATATATAAAGCAAACATAGTTGTGCAATCTATGACAAAGAAAGTTAGCAGTAAATATTAATATACATTATTCAATATGTACAATAAATAATTTGCCATTTAAACACATAACTGCCCAACTGTTTCATATAGTTACTACTTAAAGGTGATCAAAGGCTATCCATACGCAAATGATTTTAAAATAGGATGTTTACAGATTAAGATAATAAACATATACTCTTTTCAAGAGACGGAAATCAAGAAAAACCAGTCACAAAATTTTATACTCAGTAATAATTAACATAAAATATTATACACCTTGTATTGTGGGCAGCTAACGTTCTATTAAAAACCTACTACATACAAAGCACAACTCAAGGCAAATCAATTTATATCTTTAATGAACAATAAAGCAACATCAACATGAACGGTAAAAATAAACTTTTTATGTAAACCTACAGAAAACAAGCTTTAAAGGATACTGATCTGTCTGTGGTCTTCGAAAGTTCTCTGGAAGGTTGGCTTCATAGAGTAGTCTTGCTTTAGTATTTCCCATATCTTGCATGCACTGCAATTGAAAAAGAAATCAATTTCATTACTCACGAATATTAAAAAGTAATTGATTATATGTATATACACACACACACTAATACTAACAGTATTTCCAACATATTCTCCTTCAAAAATAAATTATAGCTATAAAAATGAAATTAATTATTCAAGTTCCAATTAGAGTCATTATTTTTAACATTTCATATTTTTCAACACGTGAGTATAAAATTTTTAAAAACGTTCTTTCTGTGAAAATAATGCCACCTTTATACTCATAAATTGCTAAAAGTGAAATTCCTGGCAGTTTGTTATTTTTTCAAATGCACCGCTGGAACAGTTCTGCCACTTCAGAGCTAACCGCTCAAGATCAAACTTTCTTTGAGTTTTGATACATTCTAGAATTCTCACAAATTACAGTCAAGATCACCATGGAGATCACCGCATCAAATGGAATTTCTCACAGAAGTTCAAACATCATTTGGTTTCTTTTAGATAAGAAATATAAAGAACAAAATAAAAGAGAGATAAACAGAAAATAGGGAAAAGATCAAATTCTTCCCCAAATTACAAATTCCATTAAGATTGGTATTATTCTGTTTCTTTTTATAAGACTCTTTTTAGTTTATGTCTTGTACTATGAGTAACTACTCTGAAGATAATGATACACAGTATAATAATTATTATTACTTGTTTTTTGATTATGAAATTTTAATTTTTTCATAAAAATATATATTTAAATAAAAGAACACAATGGAAGTTAAATAAAAGAAACAGTGTTGACCTAGAATTGCACTGAATTGGATTAATTTCTCTGGAGCTGTGAACCCCCTCTGAGATCCTGCAGAAAGCTTTCCCCACTAAGAACAAAAACAAAAAACAACACCACCTCTGTGCCTACTGCCTCAATTTTACATACACACTCAGGAGTGCACAGAGCCTTGCTATGGTTCGCGTGAGGGCCCCCAAAGATCCATCCGCATGTTAAAGTCTTGGTTCCCAGGGTTCACTACCGGGAGGCACAGAGCATTTACATGGAGCCTGGTGGGATGTGCTCAGGGACATGCCCTGGAAGGGACTTTGAAACTGGTCTCTCTCTTTGCTGGATCGTGACATAAGCAGGTCACCTTGCCATGTACATCCTACACCTGCCACCAGGCTCCCCCTGCCTGAGGCCCAAACCAGGACACCACCCAATTTTGGACTCTAACCAGCAGAATCATGAGCTAAATAAACCCTTTCTCTTTGTAAATTAATTGCCTCTGACATTTCATTACAGAGACACAAAGTTGACCTAATACAAACTTCCTTCCTAAAATCTATAAACTTCAAAGGTAAGAATTACATGTACTAAAACAAAACCAAATAACCCTGTTACTAAAAAAAAACAAACAACCCTGTTACAAAAGTGAGAAAGAGCTGGGGCTGTAGCTCAGTGGCAGAGAGCCTGCCTACCATGCTCAAGACCTTGGACTTCATCTCCAGCACCTCCATCGAAAAAAAAATCGGTAAATTCACTAAAACTTACAAAGTACCAAAAATCATTCAAAGGAATAATCTAACTGTTCTATGCCTAGTAATGAAAGTGGCTTTTCTTTTTAATCAGCGCATGTCTGTAGTACAAAATGACAGTATTCACAGTGGGACTGGAACATGTACGTAACACATTTGAAGTGTTTCCTTTAATCTCCAGAAAGTGGCTTTGATTTTTAAAACTTACCAACAAATAAAATTCCAGGCCAAAAAAGAAAAGAAAAAGAGAACTACTCCTCAAGAGGCATAAATCAATTGATAATCATTTATTTCAACCACTTAAGTTGTTTCAGTATCATTTATGAGTGGTAACTAGTCAAATGGTATTTTCTATGTATTTTATCACATTAGAAACTATATATTAGATATATAAACAAAACATCATATTGCTCATTTACATAGAGTTTGAGTTCCTAAAACTTGTAATTGCTACAGAGGTCAATTTTTCTTATTTTTTTTCCTGATTTCCCAGACACACAACCCCTACATCCCTAAGAAAATAATTCAGGTTTAACAGATTACCTAATGTTGACCTTGAGTCATAGCCCTCAAGTATATACAGAAGCATCTTCCCTTCTGTATATACAGAATGACCCACCTCTCAACTGAGAATTTTCTTAAAGTGTTTGAAATTGCAATATACTACACATCTGGCCATCTATTCCACCTTGCTTTAATGTAAGTATTTCTCACAATAAACTAGATTTCTAAGTTATTTCTCGAGTGATAAGGATAAAATAAAGGAACAGGGAGGCAGGAAGTAAAAGGAATGATAAACTGAGAAAGAGTAAAGGATGTTTGTCATTTAGCCCTTGAGATGAAACAGAAACTAAGGCAAAGTAGACCTGAGCTTCAAAATTGTGTAAGATAAAAAAAAATATTTTTTTTCCTGCAAGGTGAAGCGACAGTACAAGCTCATAGTTCTATTACATTGTTGGACACCACCAGCATGGATTAGTATGAATAGAGCTAAGATGCCTTTTCATGTGTGGAGAAAAGAACTCAAAAACTTTCAGTGTAGTGCACCCTTTATGAAAATGGAAAAAAAATAAATAAATGTTTCCCATCTCAAAGCATTCAAATGAACACATCTTTGTGCCAAAGTGGAAATCTGGAAGCAGAGATGAACAAGTTACATAATCGTGAAGCATTAAACATTTGAAAAGTCCTAGATTAAAAAATATATATCTTCATATTTTATCTCCACAATTTCAGTACTTTTTGCTTTATGAAACAACAGTACTTTTTGCTTTGTTTTATAAAGTACTAAACTGTGGAGATAAAACAAATTTTTTAAGTTTCTATTGGCCAAGCTAGAGCACATGGAAATTTCAATAGAAAATTTAGACTAAAAGCAGTACCTATTATATATACCATACCTCATCAATTCTCAGTTACATTTTTTCATATTATATCATCTCTGAAATAGGAATGCATCTTACAATTGATCATGTCTTATAAACGACAATTCTTAACCCATAAAATGGATGTTTCTTATAATCAGCAATGTCTTATATTCAATAATATGACTGCATATATTAATATGCATATATAAATGTCATAAATATTTTATTCTGGTGAAAAATAATTAGAAACAAGGTATACATGTACCAAATTATTAAACACTGTTCTAGTGATGTTATCCATCACAATTGAAAAATAAAGAAAATAGGCATAAAATCTAGAAGGAAAGGTGATGTAAAATGCAGTAATGAGCCATTTCTACAGAAGACTGCTGCCCAAAAGTGACCAAATGCAGGTGCCCATGTGTCTGTTAGCTAGAACTGCAGGAAACAAAGATTCAGTGACATCACAGCTACTGATCATTTTATAAAAGTAAGGAAGATACTGCTAAGTTTAGTCTCTCAGTTTCCAAAAGAGTGGGAGGGAGGTCAAAGGAAGGTGGAGATGAAGGGGAAGACTCAGTAATCTGGAGATCCACAAAAAAACCCCACCTCCCCAAAATGTGGTATTCTGTGGAGGTGATAAGTCAAGAGTACAAACCAGCTGTCCTTAAGACTTCAAGACCTTACGATAAGAACCCTAGATAATACTCATGAAAATATATTCTACTGGCCCTGGAGAACAGCGCTGCCCCAGTGCCAAAGACAACACATAAGGGAGTAACAGAACAGCTACAGTGACGAACACTAGCCTCAACAGTTTGGGAGTGAGATTTTAAATTTTAAAAGTTTTTTTTTTTTATTTTAAAGAGAATAAAAGAACAACAAAATAACAACAAAGACAAAAACAAAACAACACAGAAACAATAAAAATGATACAGGATTTCAAACTAAAATGATAGGAATTAACAGTGGTTGTTACATTACATATTGGAAAACATATATATGTATAAAGAAGGATAGCTGGAATAATTGTACTTCTGATGTCTAATGGTTTACTGAAAGGAACAGTTAATGCTTAATTTTTTTTTCTTGAGCAATTTTACATGCTTGTATCTGGTAATCTGAACAACTAATCTGAAGACATCACTATGCAATATAAGAAGAACCATTGTTGAACTCCTACTATCTTGTTTAGTGAAGCTCTGTATCGTTTCTAATGTTTTTTTTAATTTCTTTTTATTCTCTTTGTTTGATCAATCTTGCACTCTTACATCTGGTAATCTAAAAATTATTATTATAATATGAATTTTAGAACAAAGGAACAATCTGCCAGATGATATGTAAAAGACCTACGATTATCAGTCTCCATGATCCAACTCCTGACACCACCAATATCAGCATGCAGTAGGTTAGATATCTCAGGCTTCCTCCCAAGTAACTTGGACTGTGTCCTGTAGGGCTTACAAGCATCAGGCTTTTTGCTTTCCAAAGCCAGCTTTCATACTACAGATGAGGGGTTGTGAGTTCAATGTCCAGTACCAAAAGAAAGTCAATATTAATTTTTACTTTCACATACTACAGATGGTTTTTCTTCTGGGGGATACATAATAAATGGCCTATGTTCCTCTTAAAACAAAAAGTATGCTTTATATCTTCAATTACTTGTAAATGTTTTAATTTTTATTACAAGTT